GGTGGGGGGGGAGGGTGGGCCTGGAAGGAAATGGAAAACCCAAATCTGCTGTTCAGTTCACTACGTAACAAGTACAGAGGGAAAGAAGCACACTGCATATGTTCTGAAATCAAATTTAGCTAACCTCCTATGAGCTACTTCCAGACACTGTTTTAGGAGAATGCTGGGAATAGAACTACAGAAACAAATACTGGATTTATCCAAAATCATAAAGGAATATTATCCAAAGATCACACCTATCTTCTAGAAACAACTAGAAGTATAAGAATTTTCTAACACCTTAAAACATCTGAATGACATCTAAAAATCAGCTCCGAATGAAGTTAATGACACACTGCCTGTTTCAAAACACCTAGTCAGAGCAGATAAGCGTCTACCTGCAAAGAGATGACCATCTATTTCCAACTGCAATTCTACTCAAAATAATCTAGTATTGATAGACACATCTTCACAAAAATCTGCTCTAGATAATTTTGGCCTGTTACCAGTGAATCCCAGTGAACAGTGAAATCTAAAAAAAGAGAGGGATGAAAGACAGGATGATTTTTACTTCGTAGTTATTTTGTAGTAACTGTTACAAACTAGTTACTTCTGGGCACATTCACTATCTCTGTCTTAGCAAAAGCCTCAGAAGCATACAGTGTTGCTGACATTGTGTAAGAGCTGCTTCGAAAAAGCATGATGTAGGACAGAAGCATGGCACCTAGCAAGCAGAATCAGCTGAGAATAACGAATTTACAGTGAGAGGTACTTTACATCCACCAGAAACCACCACTCAAAAAAAAAGAAGTCAAAGATAGAATTTGGAACGTATAATGTAAAAAAATACAGATTGTTGTAAAAATTGCACATCTAGCAACCACAATTCTTTGCTCATTCCAGATCCCCTTTCTGGACTAGAATGGTATGGAGAACCAATGTACCTTCATGGTTGGGTCCTTCTCTACTAGTGGGCGACAATATACAGGCACAGGGACATTTTTCATGCGAGTGTCTTCCTGACCACCATTGGGACTCAGCTGCAGGGAAGAGAAGATGAAAAAGACAGTACAAAGGTGCAACACCAGGCTGTGGTAAGAGAGATGTAACCAATGTGTCAGAATCAAACTTACTAGCCTCAGAGACGGGTGCTGCTGAGGCTTCATCTCACATCTTGAATGAAAGAGTCCCTACAGTGATGGGAGCAGCCTACCTGGGAGACTGCCCTTCTCACCATGACACAGTGCCCCAGTTATGGTGAAGAGAGGCTATACAATGCACTGCTGATGAAGAAAGGGTTGTTAATGCTTCCTGCAAAGGAGTCGGAACACTGGCACTCCCTTCCATCACAGCCTGAAACTTATCCACTGTCAAGCCACACTGCAAGATGCCTTCATTTCATCTTTGACCACTTAAATGAGTCATAGGCCAATAAATGAGGCTGATGATGTTTGATTCTGTGTTACTGCTGGGAAGAAGTGGGAGCAAGCTGTACTGCATTTCGTTTTCATACTAAACGATTAGTAAAGTTCTCAGAGTATAAATGAAATATCTAATGTTCAAGCCCAATTATAACAACAAAGGAAATTAAAACAAGTAGTGGGCTCTGGACAAAGAAGTTTAATGACTTTTGGTTTAGGCTACCCTCCTACAGAGGAAATGTCCCTTCCATTGACTTTGGTGGAGATACCCAAAAAACTACATTTGATCTGTGCCTACAATTACCATTCAAATAAAACATGCATAAGATATCTCTAAATGAAATATTTATGGGCTAAAGCCGAGGTTACCAGTGGGAGAGTTAGGTCTTCACATCATCACAATGTGCCCCTCAGCCTGTACGGAGAGTAGTCCCTACCTGCTTGTACTTGGCAGGGAGGCTCCAGCCGCAGGCCTGCAATCGCCCGTCATCATTCCGCACGTGCTCCCGGACCTGGCGGTACTGCTCCCGTTTCTGCTCACGACGTGCTGAGGACGTACAGTCACTGAGGAGAGAAGCAACGGGATTACTTCTCAATCTACAGTTAAAAACAGAATTTGGAGGTTGGAAGTGTTGCCATAGCAGGGTAAGGAAACACAAACCAAACAAAATCCATCTTTGGAAACAGATTCCCTGTTAGCTGAGTGATGTGGCAAGCCAAATCATTGTCATCTCCACTTAAATGCTCCAGGAGCCCTTCAGAAACGGGGAATCAAATGCCCTAAAGCCTACAAATCTCTGAGATTACACCAATTTTTGCTTAGCTGCTACCATTCACTGATCTAACATCTCCTTCAGCAAGGCATTCTGAGTTCTTCCCCTCTTCATTACCACCAACTATTTATCTTTCTGTCCATTTTAAAGCATTCACTGCGCTAACTGCTGTTGAAACTGCTGGTTTCGACAGAGCAACTCCAGGTCTGCACTGGCAAAGGTTAAAAGAAGAGTTGATCTCTGAGCTCTTAAGGTATGTTTTAATATAAACAAAGGCTGTTTGTTTGAGTATCAGTTCCAGCTTTCCATGCATTTTTATAGTATCATTCCAAGGTACAAACAACATCAGCAAAGAAATCCAATCCAAAACAAAAACCCCTACACACACACACATAAAGACATACATAAACCCAAAACCAACTCCCTGCTAAAATGAAACACTTCCCTGCACGTGCTTCCTCCCCTGGGCAGAGGATGAGAAAGCAAACAGCTTCTGACTGGTTAGTCACATCATTCAATGCACTGCTGAGAAGTATTCCGACACCACACAATGACTACGGTATTTTGATCGGATAAAAAGCACAGAACAAAGGCAGTGGGATTCTATAACACACAAATATAAGCTTCTAAAGACAACCTATATTTTCCTGATCTAGAGCCTTCCCAACAAATCCTTCTTATTGCAGAAATTATAATACTTCACCATCACATTTTTGAAATCCCTTCCTCAAAAACGTACCACATATGAAACCGTACAACGTCACAATGGTAGAACGCACACATTTTGAAGTAAATCACAGAAGACTTTCCTCCCTTCGTGTTGGAGACATAAAGAATAGGGAGAAGACTGTCCAGCAGCAACCCTTAGGGTTTCTTTTTTAGCACAGTGAAGATTAAAACCTAATACTGCAACCTAAATGTGCTGTTGAAAGGACTTTTGTCTCCACCTACACACCTTGTCAATAGGGTTGGGCAAGACCTTCCATCCTGCTATCCCAATGCCACCACGCTCTATCACAAAAGCCCTATCTCATTACAGCCTGCAAACACGAGTGCAGAACTAGGACGGAGGCCAACTCAGCCTGCAGTGACCACTGTCGAGATGAACCATCATGTCCTTGAAAGCCATGGTAGCGATACATTTGGGAAGACTAAGTTTGCTGAGCCCATCCACGTGGGTACTACTGAAGAGTGAAAGATCAGGGAGATAAACCACCAGAGACAGAAACATATTAACACCACAAAGACATTTTTTGAAGCGGAAAACATCTTATTTTAAGACAAGCACACAGCACACAACTCACTCTTCAGGGAAGAATTCCAGGGTGCGGCTGCCAGAGGAAATCTGGCACATGGTGTGGCTGCGACGCTGGCTGAAGCCTGCTGTTGTTGGAGATTTGTAGTGGATGTTCACAGATGGGTAGGTCCGCTTTGCTGGTGGGGGACTCGAGGAAGAGCTGAACAGGCGGCTGAAGCTACAGACAGAAAAAGGCCAACAAATAAGAGAAAAATGTGCCTGGGGAGACAACACACCATACATTCACAACAGGGAAGCAGGACGTACACAGCCAGTGATGTAAGACCTTCATGAAAACTGCCCTACCTCAAACATGGCACTAAGCCCTCAGTTTGACTGACATACAGTGTTTTTAAGCTTCCAGAAACAGACACCTTCTGAAACCAGCTCTTTATTAGAACTAATTTTGAGTGTATGTATGTTTCCATTTCAGGACACTGGTGATTTTTTTTCACTAAGGACAAAGGAAGCCCTTCTAACAACACTTCAAGTTGATGTTTCATTAAATGTTAGAGCACACTAAGTTGCTACCTGAAGTAGAAATGGCAACACTTCCCCTTTCTTAATCTTGCACAAACCACCACAGAACTTACAACTGCCAAATGGTGGATTTCTTCTTCTCCTGGACGGATGGGTGCTCACGGGAAGCTCTAAGGACAAACACAGCAGAAGCAAGTTAATATCAGCATCTCCTACCCAGGCTTCTGCCAACCAGAAGGCCATTTCCATCAAAGAAGCGGTGTCAAAATTCAGAATTCATTCTAACATGTTTCAAAACACAACAGAGGAAGTGACATGCACTGGTCTTTAATGTAACCATACCCAAACACCTTATGTTTCAATGTTGACATGAAATGCAAGTAAGCGAGTTCAATTCAAAGTTTTATCAACTCCCTGAAACACTATCACTGCCACAGTACTAGTTTGGTAACTACAAACCCACTCACTGTATTCACTTTAAGCCATAGCCTTTAGAATTCATTAATTAGAAGCAGCCTCTTCCCTACAGCTTCTCCTAGCTTAATTAGCACATAAGAAACAAGCAAGACAAACAACTGCCCAGTGTCTCCAAATAATGATGGCAACGCACGATTTGCAGCAGGTTCAGGAGCAAGACAGAAAGAATTTGGTATCAGAAGAGAAGCATCTACAGTTCGGAAAACTTTCAGCATTTCTTGACCCATACCTTGGTAGAGGTTCTATTGACCACAAGGTCAAACATGGCCAAGTTCTGTCCTAAACAGGAATTTCACCCAACACCCAGTCTCACCTGATCATCTCTGTCCACCTGACAGCCTCCTGGAGCTCCATCAACCTCTCTTTGTACTGATTGCGTTCCATCAGAACCCGGGCCATTTCCACGCGGGTGAAGCGGCGGCGCTGAGCTATGGGAATGTTGTCCTGCAGGGGGGAGGAGCACTGCTTCAGCCAACAAAAGATGGAAGGGGATTGATGTTAGTACAGGGCAAGTCAGGAGACAGAAAGACATATTTGTTAGTTCTCCTGTTCTGTTTGATCACCCCCTGATTTCCCCATATGAGGTGCTAATACCAGACAAGTGAGCTCCAAACTATGGTCCATGGATCTCTGGGGTGTCCTGCAAACCCACGGAAGTTAGAATTAGAACCACTGCCAAACTGAAAACCCCACCCAGGGACTATTGCCAGCAAGGTGCTTTGATAGTCTGCAAGGAATTACAAGAATTGACAGTGGTCCCTAAGTCCAGAAGTTTGGAAACCAACGTTTTAGTTCATTAGTAAGTCCAGTCACAAGCAGCAGGGAGGACCACGTAATGTCATCCAACCCCTCAAGAGGACTAGGAAGGAGGTGTCCTGATAGTATACACTCATAAAGGTACAGGGTGCAAGAAACTAAAGAAAGGCCTTTTCCTCTTTAGCAACACAACCTGGCCTTCCAATGAGGGCACATGCAGCTTTGAGTTAGGAGGCAAAGGAATGAGATGCTGTTTCTCTCTTCTGAGCAGCAGAAAATTAGAACAACATGGCTAAATTACGGAAAAATATCTGACCAAAAAGAAATTGTGAGGATTTTGGGAACTCACTACTAGGAAGTGGTACTGAATTATGCCTAGACTGTGACAATTCCCAAGCTCATCCTAGCTGGTGGGTACTGCTGAGACCTGTAATAGCACAAATTAACCAAGTCCCTCTCCAGCCTCCCTGGACTTGGAATAAATCTGTATTACCAGTCAAAACAAGAAGTGTATAAATTAAAATGATTTTTACAAGCTGGAATAGCTTGTAAAGATTTCTTGTCAGTTAAGTCTAGAAGAAATCCAGTCCTCTTCAACATTTCACAAGCACTATTTGAAAAATTTCCTATCTACCTAAATTCTCAACAAACCAAGTTCACCCCAGTTAAGTCAAGAGAATTAGCTAGAACTGAACCTGCTCCAATACCTTTTACAAAATAAGAACATAGTAATATTGAAAAGAAGAGTATCTAATTCCCTGTCCTCGCAGAGTGACATAACAGAGGAAAATCTCTGTTATTGCTTTGGTTTGCACTTTTTTTTAGCCACAGTTGGTCTTTGTTGAAAAGCCTCTACACCTCAGCCAAACAGTCTGAAGAGCTGTCACAGAAGAACAGTCCATAAACCTTTTCTGCCTGTATCCTGCAACAGGCAGTACTGTCTTACGGAAAAGAAATAAGTTAGAAAAACCCTGCTGCAAGATGGAAATTATAGAACTAATAAAATAAGGCAGTTAATGCTGCAAAGCTGTCCCTATAACCTGGATTTCACTGCACAGTGTCCTCACAGCGTACAGCTTCACTGCCAACGTTAAGACAAGCTCTTCTGGAGAAGTCTGACTATCACAAGACCCCGAGAGAAACCACTGTGCACACTAGACAGTAATTCAAAATTGGGGAGAACCAGATAAAATAGGTAGGTGCTGAGCAGGGCACTGCTCTAGCACCATTCTGCACTGCAGAAACCACATTGTGCGCAGCATTGCCACCATGTCAGCTGCTCATCCTTGCCAAACTACAGTTTTAAAGGCATATGAAGAGGTGACCTCACAGCATGTGTCTATTTGCAATACTCATGAGCAACAACCTGCAGTTCACCACCTTTGCCCTTATCGTTAACAAAGGAAGATCAATCTGCATCTAAGGACTCACAGATAGGAAGCAATACAGAGTAAGTATATAAACCCCCTTTCCCCGCAGGCATTTTAGTAATGTAATATACCAATTCTGTACAGAGATAGCTGCTTACATCCTCCACCTCCTCTTTGGGTTCTCGTCGGGCAACAATCACTTCAGATTTCACTCTAGGAAACAGGAAGAAAGGCATCAAACCAGCAAGTGACACCATGGCTGGCCCTTGTGTGTTTTGGGAGGAGAACCATCTATGTGAAAGTCTGTCTGCATGCATCACAAGGAAACGTTTTCAAACTGCGAGCTAAGTGTACAAATTATGAGATGCTTGTCTGGTATTTCTCCCTCTCTCTTGCAGCATGTTACTTCAAACAGCTTCACTGACGTCACCCCATTTCTTTGGAACATTTGATGTAAGCACCATAATACTGACTACTGGCACAGCCAATTGCTATTTCAGAACCATAATCTATGTTCAAATGTTTGATGAGATCTTAACCATGAGAAAAATGAGCCACTATGAGCAAAGAAAATGATGGCTTAACTTTTTCTTCTCGATTGCTTCTGTTTTCAGTGCACTGAAGAAAACCTTTAATGTGAAGGACAGCTTGCCATAATGGTAAAGAAGAGAACATCAAATTCATGTTAATAAAATACTTAAAGAATTTATCTGAGTGGTTTTTTTAAATTTTCTTTAAACTCCATAGCAGGGTGCAGTTGTGCAGTCCCATGTGAATTACAAGCATTTTTATAACAAAGACACCACAGAAAAAACATGCTGTCTCCATCTCCTAAAAAGGCACACTTGCCGGTTAGAAGTCCATGTCCCTACTGCATAATATATTATTCAATATGTTATGTATATTATGACTCAAAAAGGCTTTTTTAAGAAAAATCAGACCTATTTCCACTGCTTGTGAGGCTACTTTCATAGCAGACATTTTGAACAACCAAGAGACCAGTCTGTGTTATTCTTGGTGATCCCGTGCTCCCATTACAGAGGCAACCTTCCACATTCTCTCTGCAAAATAAACACTGTTCTCCGAACTGAGATACCACAGTGCAGTGTACAGCTAGCCAAAATGTAACTATGTTGCTTTGAGCTCCCTGGGGCATCTCTCGTTTTATGGACATGAAATCATCATAGGATTTGCTAGGCATTCAGGCCACGGTTTTACTAGATCGATAGAAAATAAGTGGGATCACTCCAAATGCTACCTGCATAGGACTTTAAAATCTCTTGTGACTCTTCTTCTCATTCTTAACATGAATAATGAAACAATTAACAATACTGGTATTTAAATATTGTGTGCGGGAACCTGTATTAGCTCTTTCAATAAATGAATGGGCAGTCATTCCTCTCAGAGCTGTCTAGGCTGCTACACGGATCAAGCTCTTGACACTTTCCTTCAAAACTATTACTTTTGAAATTCCCTTTTTTGTTTCTTTTTTATTATTTTTTTAATTGCAAATTCAAACTCTGAATGCGCTTCACTCCAGGGAGCCTGGATGTGCAGTTGCTGCTGCAGAATCCTAGTCCTGGGGAGGAAAATTCTGCAGGTATTCTAAGGTTCAATAATCCATTTTAATCCAGTAAAAATAACGTAACACTAAAAATCTCTCAGCCACCTACCATCAGTCTTGAAGGGCTCTGTAAGGTAACTCTGAACTTCCATGCTAACCTCCGTGAGGGAAACAGAGTAAAACTATGAGAGGAAGTGGGTTTATCCCTCATGTCCTCACACCTCCCTGGGCAGGGTGTGAATCACTCACCTTTTCAGCTCCTCCTCTAGCTCCTTGACTCTGGTTTCCATTTTGGCTTTGGCCTGCTTTGTTGCTTCAAGCTCTCCCTTCAGTACTTCTTGCTCTCCAGACAGCTGGTCCACCTTGGCAATCAAATCATTCTTCACAATGTTCAAAGCATTTCTTAAAGGTGTGAAAGGGACAATAAGCAAAAATGCCCAAAACCTGCAGCTGTCCATAAGAGAGACCTGAAACTAAAGTCACAGGCACTACAAGGAGAGTTGAAATGAGTGTATTTAAATAATTCAGTCCAGCTGTAAGCCATGGGAAAATAGATTGGCAAGAAGGAGCTGCAGAACACAGAAATCACCATAAATGGTCAGGATGAGGTTTGTCCAGTATTGTCACCCTGACTGACAGACCAAGTTCTCCTCAAAATGACATAATACTGCAGAGAGCAGGTGTAGGGTAACCTATCACCTGTATATGGTTCTGTCTTGAACAGAATGAAGATCTGAAACATGTCTTTCAGAACTGCTGTTATCTGTAATCGTGGATAATTGCAGATTATCAGCTCTAAAATATCTTAAAATCACTAAAATCATCAGCTTCCTTTCACAGTAAGTTCTCCAGCTCTTTCTAGCAGTACTTTGCCTTCCTCATCCTGGCTGCTTAGCTTTAGTATCTGGTTTGCCAGCCTTTCTCACAAAGTAAGTCCATTACATTGTCTGCTTCTCCTGTATCAACTATTAAATCTTTGAAAACTCTTCTCAATAGTAAGAAAATTTTCTTTCCAAGTAGCAAACCTTGCAAATAAAAAGTTGTAAGCAGCAGTATCCTCACAGAGGCTCAGACCCACATCTAGATTCCCACTGAAGTTAATTAAAAGCTTGCCACAGATTTCAGTAAGAACTAGACACTACCACCACATGCCCAGAGAATTTACCCAAGTGCCTGCAGAAAGGAAACAGTTAGAAAAGTCACTCAGAACAGCAATTCCTCTTCTGCAATTGAAGAGGAACAAGTATCAAGAGAACCTGTTAGATAAACGAGCAAGCCCCTATGAGGCAGGAGTTCTGGCCAAGACCTACTTCAAGATGACATCTCATTTATAATTAGGCAGGCAGTTCAGAGCATGCCACAGTTCCTTACTTGGTTTCCAGTAGTTGCGAGTTCTCCAACAGCAGATTCCCCACTTCTTTGCCCATTCCTGAAAAGAAAGACCAGGCAGTTTTCACCTGCTCCCCGACAAATATGAACCTTGTGTGGCACTGCCTGACTCATGCTTGAGGAAGAAAAGGCACTTTTGTTAGGCTTCCCTAGGCTTCTCTGTCCTGGTGTGGAGCACAGTGCCTCTTGCTGAAAGCCCATGCAACACAAGCAAAGACACTCATGGGTCCTTCTGTAAAGAGGCCAAATGCAGACCTAGCTTCTTACCCCAACTTTCACAGACTCCCTTGAGAGGGACAGAGAGGAGAGCTTCACAAACAACCGTTGGGGGGCGTCAAGTCTGTTCAGCCATGAGCTACTGCAACCAATTTTATCATCACTCATGAAGAAAGAAGGTACAAGGTCAGGATTTTTCACAGAGGACAGCAGAACACTGTCCAATTGCTGGCCATATCTGCACATCAGTGACTTTCCTTCTTTCTTATTTTAAGCCAAATTTTCTGTTTCTCAGTACAGATTTGAGATCATGGTTGTGACCAGTGTCATGCATATGAAAGGCTTCCCATTATCAGCCTTCCATCAGAGCAATTTTAACAGGATTTGCTTGTCCACTGTTCTAGCTACCTTTAACAGCTTTCTTAGAGATGTTTAAAATCTGAAGTCTCTGACCCATCACTTAAGACCCACACTAAAGAAAACGTCTACATCAGACACACTACACTTGTACTTGGGCATCAACACACACCAATTGCAATATGCATATTGGGTTGCAAGCACTTTGAAAAATCTGGGACCAAAAGCACAACTGGATTGTTTCCTACTGCCAAGGACTTACTGGCTCCCTGGCCGCCTGAGGCCCCCTGAGAACTAAAGGTAAAAAGAACCCACCCTGACGGGGGACAGTGCTTAGGGCTGTAGCTTATTTCTCACCACAGATCTCAGAGCATGAAGGAGTCTTATACTCATCAGTGTTTGTGTTCCTTGCCCTGCCCCTCTGAACTACCTTTTCCTTTACAGCAAAGACATCAAAAGTTTTCATGATCCATTGTCTGCTGATTAATTAATATTTGCAATAAAATAAAAACAACACAAACTGGAAGTAAATGGAAGTTAGAGAAACGTGGTAGCATATGAGAAGTGAGAACACATCACAACACTCCAACATACAGATCCTCTTCCCACAGTCAAATGGGATGAACTTATGATGGCAAAAGCAAATTCCAAGCAAGAATGAGTAAGAAGCAGCATTTTTAAATAACACTTGAAAAATCTATAGACAGGTAATTAATCACTTTGATGTTTCAGGCAATGTGTTTTTTGGATGCTGTGCAAACAGCAAAAAAGTGAGAGACACTAACTGCACTGCAAACTGACGTGTATTTTTGGTTTGGCAATGACCTATAGCCCTTTCTTTTGTGGCATGCCATATGTTGATCAGAAGACCAAGAAGTCATCTGTTTATTATATGACTTTCATGTTCCTTTTTAAACGGCACAAGGACATCACAGGTTAAGAGTTCATCCCCAGGTTTTTCTGGACTAAATCTTTTTCCTTTCTATTCTTGAGTCATCTATCCCTTTCTGCTGCTGATTTTGGGAGAGAAAGGAACTCTGGTGAAGAAGGTGAGCTACCATGCCAGAACTAAAAGCCATACAACAGCTTCCCATCCATCAGTAACCTCACCATAGCTTCTACCTTAGTTACATATGACACAATCACAGCCTAATGCTTTAACCAGTGAGGGATCTGAAGGGCTAGTTTTGCAATAACGAAATGGATGAAGCCATCCCAGAGCCACAGAATGGACATTAATGAACACATCACCTTATGCAGGCTGTTACGGGAAAGCCGTGCTCATGGGGACAAAAAAATACCACTGCAGAGTGACTAAAAGGAGATCTCTTTGTCTCTTTGTGTTGTGGAGCAAAGGGAAGGTCTCTGGACAGATACCTGTCTAACAGAGCCCACCCTACACTGTCCATCTCCCACAGCCAGGCAAATAGTGTGAAGCATCAAAGTGGATAATCAACTACAAGAAACAGAGGAGAATCCTCAAATCACCGCTTCTGACCAGCTGCATCCTGCTTCTTGGAGATGTGATAACACCATCACAAAAAACAAACCAAGGAAATGCAAGACGTGGAGGGATATTGAATGAATGAAAGAAATATAGAAAAAAAAAAGCACATTTAAAAAATGGGAGGAAAAAATAAAAAAGGCCTTCGCCTTACCAAAGAAATCATCCCGTACTATGAGAGCCATCCCGTACGAGAAAGGGAACAGAAAGATGGGGACAAAGGGGAAGAAAGGAAGAGAAAAAAAGCAGCCATTAAGTACCAGTCTGTAAAGAGCAGAGCAGCTCATCAGCATGTGTACATCTGGTGCGGTGCCAGGAAACGTGATCCTCAGTGGCAACTAATTACACCTTGTTCCGCTGCAGCCTGGCCTAAGAGGGACTTACACCTGAGATGTTGGGAGAAGCTCGAGATGAGGTGTTTCTTCCACCCTCATCTTTCCTCCTGAACTACGTCTCTGGGTTTCCCATCCCCAAAACAAAGGCAGTTCAACAGACATTGTGAATAGGGGGAGGGAAGGACAGGCGCAGGAGGAAAAACAAATGGGTGGGGGTGGATATCAAAGGTCTCATCTGGCCTTTTTGCACAGGCCCACCTCTGCACTTGCAACAAACTCCAACACAACTTCAGCAGCAGGTTTTCTGAGAAAGGACCTGAATAGGTGGCTTACAGTAAAATCTGTTTGAACTAAAGGAGAGGATGATGCCATGCCTTTCTTTTGTAATCTCACAGAGCCAACGCCAAGAGATGCTGGGCAGAGGATCATAACAGAGCTCATCGCCACACAGCATCACGCTATCATGTCTGCCTAACTAAACTGCCTTTACTACAGGGAAAACTTCATCAAATTTGCACTGAAATCAAGAGAGAGACCCTTGACTTCATCTGAAACTGCATCAGGGCCCCAGTGTATTTTATGGAAAGGTGCAATCCCTCTGATGGCAGAGCATGATCCTAAGGTAGTGAGCTGCCTTCACCAAAACAAATGACAGAGCTATCACTTCAACTCCTGCCAGAAAGGCAAAGCTTCAACAGAAGACAGAGGCTTTGCTGCTCTAATCCATCAAGAAAGTGTCTTTCACGTCACTACAGCTATTCCAGAAGAGGGCCAGCGTGCATCCACTAACCCACGGTGGCCGTCATGCACACACCTAACTCAGTCCTGTGCCCACCCAAGCTCTGCTCCAAGCACAGCACCCATTCTGACAGAGAAAAAAAGCACTTTGAGCCCCAACACCTTGAGTGACAGGCCAGTGTAACACAGTGGAGCAAATGTGCAGAAAGCCACACAAGAAAAGCTTATTGAAATGCAGCAGTCATGTGAGCACAGCACAGGGATGTCCTGCAGCCCAGGGACCCACCAGTGCAAGGCAACCAAGTGAGGCGGAGCTGGGAGAAGTCCGCAAAGCCAACCGTGTTTGGACAAGAGCAGGGGAGTATCGCATGTGTATACCATGTCATTCCACCTCAACAAGGGAAAATAAACAACAAAGGAAACTGAGCAGAGGAGATACACACCTGAGAACTCCCCTATGGGCCATGTCCAGCGAAGCACAGAGAGACAAGGGAAGAAAAGGAAGTGAAAAAAAGATCAATCAGTGACTGAAACCAACAAAATAAAAATTTTGTTCAAAAAAAATTAACAGTGATTCAGCCATTTCAATGTCAAAAGTCATGGAACAGTAACGACAGGACCTGCCATGACTGTAGATGGCATGAGTCTACATACAGGACATAAAAAAATTAAAGGGAAGGTAACTCATGGTACAACTGCAACTACATGTCTCGGCTAAGCCCACTTTCCCAGACATTAATCTCAGGCAATTTCATCTTCCTGGGCTGGAGAAGCATTTATTTTCCCTTTATTTAGTTGTGTACCACTAAATGCAGAACAGCTAGTTCCCACTACCTTCTTTCTCATTTCCCCTCCCCACGTGATTTTAGCAACTACATCTTCTGATAATAAATGTACTCTTCAATGATACTTCAGCTTGCAAAAGACAATTAGTTGCATTTAGAACCTTTTTTTTTTTTTTTTTTTTACAGTGCAGTACTAGGACTCGGTTTGATTATCTCATTTCAACTCTGTTTAAAAAACTGCGTATAACTTACCACTAATATGGCTGAATTTCTGTCTTCACCACAAAACCCCTGTTATCTGAAGGGAGGTTTAAATCTCAAAAGCAAACACAGTCGAGCATCCTAAAACTGAAAGGAAGGGCCTGTCCATAGCACATAACCAAACTGGTAGTGCTCCTTCATGTCCAGAAACTTTTGGCATAGGGAAGAGCAGGAAGGGGGAGATGGGAGAAGGGGGAGTCTACCCAGGATTGGAAGGTACAAACCTGTGATTAACAAGTGAATATGCAAACAGCCAACTAGTGTTCCTAAGGCTGTATTAAGAAAGAAGAGAATTTGGTCTACAGTTACCACTACTAAATAACTGTTCCCATTCCACATTTTTCTCCAGAATACCTCCTGTACAAACTCCTGTACGTACGGCACTATCAGAGGCGGGGGGGAACCCCAGATATTTTATTTCTTATTTTATATTCAAAAATTTCAATGAAGAGTGCCAATTTTGTACCAAGAGATGTTAGTCACTTTGCAGATGTCCAGAAGGAATGAGTGAGATTTTCCATCCATCCAACAGACTTGCCTGCCAGCTACTGCTCAAAGGTAATTTTTGTAAGATCCTTCTATTTTGAAGTCCTCTCTAATGAGATTTCTCTTTCTTTAAGAAACCAAGTCCAAAAGGAGAGAATATTCTTTGAAGATTGATTGACAAGTTTTGAAAGAGACTAGATGAAGTATCGAATTTCACTCAGGTGGGGTAAACTTCATTAATTCTTTTGCTTTACAGAGAGAAACGAACTCCAAATGCAACCTAGAAAGAGTGAAGTCTTACAGCTTGTGGACCTTGTTTTTTACATCATGTCCATAAAACAGAATTTCTTCTATGGCTCTTCATACTCAAAGATATAGCAGAACAATTTATCTAACAAAAAAGGCAGTATTTTAAATAATGTTGACAGATTTGTCAGTAAAGACTTAGCCTTTTGCTTCCATCTTTACCACACTTTCTTAGTGCTTTCTTAGTGCACGGCAAAAAAAACCCCACACAAATCTCATTTCTTGGTCAGAGACATGATCTCTTAAGATCTCGATCTTTCTTCTTCCCTTTGTAGACTCCTGGCAACATGTGTGTTCATCTTAAACAACACTCCTATGTGGGCAGAGTCAGTAGCCAGAATTCAACAAAAGGATTAATTAGATTAACACTTCTTGCAGGAAACTCACAGAACTACCTGATTTCATCACAGCCCGTCTCCAGGTTTGAAAAGGAACCAGGAGGAACCTTCGTATACTGCTAGCCTGCTGTGCAACCACCTGCAACAGTTCTGCTGCTCTGCTCAAACCAAAAAATTGTCCCAGCACAACTGTACCACCACCACTCCCCGCCTCCCGAAATGTACTCTTCATAAGCCGCACTGTTCAATTAAGTCTCTACATACTTACTACAAGTGGTAACTGCCAAACAATGGATGTCTCACAACCCAAAAATCAATCACTGGTCTTTGGGCAGCCTTATTACTGGAAGAGGTGAAGCTTTGAATTTAACTGAAACTGTGGTGACCAACCTTGCAAGGTTTAGGCAACTAAAACGTCTGGCCCTTTGAAAACAACAGTCTGCGTTTCTCACTGATCACTGGGTCCAACTACAGGTTAATCCAGAGGGGAAGTGGCTTCCCAGAAGGCAGGCTTCCAGAAGTGGGAAACGGCCTGTCTGAAGCAACCTGTGTATTCATACATCAAATAATTTTCCTGAACAGTAATTTTTTAAGTATCTGCACACGTTGGCTCCAGCTGCAGGCAGAGAAAGCCTGTGCTTTCATCTTGACTCCCCTATAGATTTTTTCTTCCAGCAATCTTGAGTTGGAGGTGAAACAATAACTGCTTTAAACACTTCAGGCAGTGGTCACCAATCCATGCACCTGAGCTCTCTTTCATGTTGCAGGGCTAGTACCATGCTTCTAAAACAACAAAAAAACCCTATCCGTACCAAAAAGGTATTGCAAGCATTCTGAAGGTAGTCTGGATCTTGTTCTTACATTCCAGTCACGTTACTGCCTATGATAGTAATAATTTCACAGATTTTTGTCTTTGATAAGGCAAGAAGTATTGCATTAACCTCCTTTCCAGTCTCCAGTCCTCATGGTTAAGTCTTCAGTGAACAGGGTAAAAATCTATCCTCTCTGCAGAAACATATCCTTTTAGAGGGTCCTGATACAAGGCTTTTATTGAAAGGTGATACAAGTATCCTTCTAATTTAATTTATGCAAATGTGACCTGCTAGAAATCTGTGACATGATTCAGCTCATCCTGTTCTGGACATATATACAGAACCAAACTTACAAGATTATACATAAGCAACTCTTACAACATCAGTAATCACCAGAAAGGAAATGTACAGTTCCAGATCAGACCCCTGGCTACTAAATGCATAAAAGGCATATCGTTGGAGTGCTCACATCTCCTAAGGCTCCCTAAAGGAAGCAGTAAAACAGAAATTGAGCTACACAGCTATAAACTTTTGTCAGCTGCCTGTGTTATCTGAGTATTCGAATACCACTCATATTCTTCTGATTCAGGAAAACAGTCGGCAGGACTTAAGAACATGCTTAAATTGTGTCATGAATTAAGGTCTAGATACTCAAGAGTCCAACACCAAGAAGTATGGCAAAGGCTCAGACTGCCACCTGAGGCAAAGCTGCTTCTCTGCTTCAAAGCCCCAGTCAGGAATATGGAATATTGCTACACTTCAGAGACTACAAGCTCCTTCGAAATCAGTCAAAGTGAATTACTACCTGTCTTAGACTGATTATAAAAGGGTAAAAACAGCAATACAGACCACAGTATTTCCATGTAATGTAAACTTCAAAGTCTTAATAAATGGAGTTGCTTTCTCGCAGATTTCAAACAAACCCTTTATTCCAAGTGAAATTGCTAGTGTGTAAAATCACTGGGGGAGGGGAAATTTCAGGAAGGAAGCAGAAGGAGCAAATTTTGTCTTCAAATTGTTTGCATGGAAGAATCCTAGAGAAAAGTAATTTATGCACATAAGGACAACCCAAATAAAAGTTACTCAGTTTAAGTTACTTTCTAAGTAAACATTTCTGTACTGCAGGTACATATTTCGTTCACATAATGACTCCGTTTCCATGCCATTTTTTAAAAGCCAAACATCCAAGTTCTTAAAAAGAGAATTTAAGTGTTTCTAGAAGCTTAATATAGTTGTCATTGTACCAGAAAAGACAGAATGGTTCTAACCAAGTTTTTACCTAGCAGATCTGCTCCTTCATCAACATCACCGATAACCTCGGACCCTGCTGTGGAAAGTTCATGATAGAGAGAGTCTGTGTTGATGCCAAACGCTTTGTTCACAATTCCCTGTGTTGGGCTGTTGTTGGAAGAGAAAACAAGGATTCTTGTTACTTGGCAACATTTAAGCTAGAACATATCTTTCTGAAATACTGGGCATCCTAGACCTCTGCGATCAATGAGCCCTCTGAGCACATTCCACCTGTTCACCACGGGCTTATTCAGGGAACATACTGAGTAAAGACAAAAGCACATTTATTCCCCATATCAAGTACAACCAATATCATGCACAACCTAAAAGCTCACCCTGCTGACTTCCTTTTAAATCACGTTAATGACTACTCCATATTTGACAGAAAAATTTCAACTCGCAGAAGCTCTCAGCTCTGACTTTTCAGATGATGCAAGGATTTCCACACTCCTATCAACTGAGACAGCAACCTCAGAGAGCAGTTATCAGATAAGGACTCTCATGCTGAAAACAGCAATGGTAATTTTTCTTTGCCAGCGACTAAGTGACATCAGCTTGAAAGGATAGATTCTTCTTTGGGTGAGTCTATGCACCAAAATGCTTCTTTACCTGTCAGTAAAATGTATTCCATTAACAGTAAATCAAAGTTAATGTTTTTGAATCGCATCATACAGGACGACATTCCCATCTCTTAGTGTCTTTGGTACCATCAAGAATCTTCTCACAGTTCTTGACAGTGTCATGGCTCAGACAGAAAACAGCTATTACAAGGAGGTGAGGCAACCTCTGGGATTGTCACTGCCTACGCTACAAAATGGTCTTCATGCGGGTATAAACACTTTTAAGTGCCCTGCCTCGTACAAGAGGAATCAGCCAGCATGAAGAGAGGCTGTGCAATTTTTCCTGGCAGTCTAACAGAAAGGTCAGTACCACTGGAGATTATCTCAGGCTGCATGCCTTCATTCTTAGATAAATGAAGTCTCAGGGATAAAGCCTGGAGGTTACAAATGAAGTGCAGTAGCTGCCTCTGATATTGCAGAATTACAGTACATTACACCGAAAAGGAAAAAAAAACAGTGGGTTTTTTTCAATTACAGAAAAATTAGAGGTACCCAGACATCTGAGAGCACTGAGGAGTTACAAATGGGTGCCATGGCTGCACCAGGATTAATCAGTTCACACAGTCTAATGCACAGCACAAGTGACCAGAAGCAACCAGTACTCGGCCTCTGACCTGAAGACCTAATTCAGCTTGAACCTACCTCTTAAGCACTCAACTTCCAGAGGCTGTCTGTATCTAAAAAGCATTCTCCTTCTACAGCAGGAAGCACACTGTTCAGCAGCTCCAGAGTAAGCTTGTGACTCCTACAGCTTTCAGTCTCACCACCTGGATCAGAATCACTGCCTGAAGAACTGCCAGTGCAGCAATCCTCTCCATTCTCTTCTTTTCCTTCAGTCTGCCTGTTTTCGAACTGGTCTCATCACTTCTGTGCTCCCCACACAGAGCTATTCTGGCTATCCAAATTTCTCCTGCATCTGACCCTAAAAATTGTCCATGCATTGTACATATTCTGAGGGGAGCTCAACTGTATGTGGCTTCACAGCTGAGAAATGCATCTGTTATTGCTGCTTGCACACATCACGAAGAGGGTGCTCAACAGGGGGAATTAGTCCAGGTTTGGAGGTGAGAAAATCTCACTTTAACTTTGTCAGTGTACTATCTTCTGCATACCTGTAAGAGCTAGGGGGTTATTTTTGCTGGTGTAGTGCCAAACTACCCACTGGATGAGAGTAAAAATTAATTAATCGTGTAAAATTAACTACCAGACCTTAGAAAAAATTAACCAAGTTACCCAGACTACTCATTCTAGAGTAACACGTCTCACAGAAATATGGTGCCAAAATGAAGACTTTAGAGAGTTAAATTATGGAGCTAAATTAATAGCATTTAGGGAGCTAAACAGGATTAGCACAGAACAGGTGATGGACAGGAACCACAGCAGCAGAGTAAATCGGTACAAGTCTGCTAATTCAGGGGACTCCAGCAAGGTCCTGAGTGCACTGATGGGTCAAAGTTGCTCTGACCAGCGTCACCTTGAACCCATACCCAACCACTGGTCCAAGGGCTCCTTTTAACCTCAGGCCTGTGCCTTCAGTCATTCTCTGAGCTACACTGTAAGCGTTCTTCTCTTCACTCCTCTCTCCTGATGATCATGGGTAGCACAGGGACCTAATTCATCCCCTTGCCTTGTCTGCAGCTGCTGATGGAACCTGTTACCAGTGCTCTGCCCTCTGCACAGAATCTGCGGGACTGGGATCTGCTGGGGTTACTCCTGTTTGTCCTCCCGCGTGAATCAGCTCCTGCTCTTCAAATATTTGAAAAAATTTAAACTAAAAAACACATGAGGTTTTACAAGAGATCAGTTCTGAATTCAGTTATTAGAGAAATGCATCTTTCACCCTTCCTGACAACTTAAGCCCATGTCCCCTTTGCCTCTCTTAAACCTTTCGTTGCTCCATCTCTCCATCCTCCCTGATCCAGCAAGGCAAACAAGCCCTGAGCTGATCTCTGAGTCTGCTGGACAGATCTTTTTGCAGATTATCAGCAAACATTTGCCTTCTCCGGAGAACTCAAGAAGGTCAGGACCCCTCATATTCATACCAGGCTGATTATACGGACTTTCTCTCAAAGAGCTGTATCTTGAACTCAGCGTGAGCCACAGCACCCATTCCTCACTCCTAAAACCAAGCAAAAGAGCATACAGTGAAAAGTCACAATCAATACCTGTTACCAGTGCGTTCCAGGCGGGGGTCTTGACACATATCCAGCTCTGGAGTAGAATCGATGATGTCCTGAACATCGGACCACTCATCACTGCTGCCCATTCCTAAGTAAAACAACACATAGGATCTATAGGATCAGGACTTTCACAGGATGGTGTTCCTTGAAGGGACAGCTTTAAATATCAAGGTTTCAAAACTCCATGGTGTCATGTTCAAAGTCTTTAAACAGGAACAGAATGTGGCTGGTCATCTAGAGTCACAAATGCACCAGTGCTGGGAAGGTGCCCTCACAATTCCAGAGCAGGAAGACCATAAAGCATCCTCTCCCTGACACCACACCAGAGTGTCACCAAGGTCACTGGCCTGAGTTCTCATTTAAATGTGATAACCAGAAATACTTCATCCATTCAAGTAAATTCCAAATTAACTTTTTATCTGTCAGTAAAAACTCTTCAATCACCATGCTTTAGCTGAGACAGAAGACAACAGTGGTTTTCTGCATAGCTTCCCAAAGACTACTGTATATAGAAGTATTTTTTCCATACAAATTCTCAAGTCTACAACTGGTTTAGATACCTGTTACATTTCACTTACAAAACTGATAAATGAAATCTACTCTGGTTTCTTTATAATCTACAGTTTGAAGACAGTATTTAAAGAATAAGGAACTTTCTCCGCTTGTCAAGTCACATTTATTGGATACCATACTGTTCAGAAGCTCAGGCTTGTACCTATTCTAAACAAGTAATATGAACAGTGTGTCTGCTCACACAAGAAATTCTTGAAGGAGTAAAGACCTAATATGTAAACTACATTAAGTCCCTCAATAATGGTGTGAAATTTTGACCTTTCCAAATGGCCTCGGTAGCCAAATATACAAAGCCCATGACAACTTGAGTGTTGACGTTACTCTTTTAGGCTGACACTGTGCACCAGCTGGCAATAAATGCCATGTCTGAAGACAAAGTATGATTTGCATCTGTTGCCAAAGTGGGCATCTGTACACCAGTCGTTCTCAAGCTCACCAAAACAGATGCTTCCTTTATTTTTTCAAGCTGGGAAGCTTTTTTAAAATACCTTTAAGTATCCTTTTTTGGTAGTTCAGCTCTAAGGCATTTGCATCACTGAGAGACATTTTAATTACAGATGCATGAAATACATGATTAAAATTCATGTATCTGTGCTTCCCCTCAGCATGGAGATCTGATTTTGCATTACGTGTACGAAACAGCTGAAAGGTTGAATATGCAGAGTACTTAGGAAAGTTACAACTACCTGCCTTGAGCAGATTCCACAATACGATACTTCCACCAAGAAAAAAGAAGCTTTCTTTCACATGCACAATGACTTTCCAATGCACACATATGGAAGTGAGCAGATGACCCAAGGAAGCTACTGATGGTAAATGAGCTTGTAAAGTAACAACTGTAAAATTAAGGGTAAATATTTATAGGGCATTTGAGCTACATGCTCAATTTCTCTGATAACAATGCTTATACTGACTTGCCTTGGCCAGGGTCACTGAACAAATGACAACTTAACAGCTGGCTACGCAGAAGCCATATGCTTTATGAACTACATTAGTTTCTGGCAGACCGATATCTGGGACACCCTCAGCTGCTAATATATATACAGAATGGGACTCGAGTCACAACAATTCTCATTCAAATGCTACAACAAAAGATGTTACATGTTGGTTTATAGACTAAATTTGTTAAGAACCAGCTTGTGAATGCTAGGAGAGGAATTTCCTCTGTATTACTTAGGAAAAAAGATGATCACCTGGTTCATATGCTAAACTTGGAGACCTAAACCCATCCCTGTGCTCCTGAACAGACTTTCCTTATAATTTTCAGCTAGTTTTACAGTCCTTTTGTATGTGAGTTCATGACCTGTAAACCAGACCACTTCTCATCTCTGAAAGCTGCTGCAAGTCTAAATAAAATACAGGCTGAGAGTTGCTCAGACACTACACTGGCACAGCTGTATTAAGAAACACTGAAAGGGACTTTTAAAATTTTATTAAACTGTTTTCTTTATTTAAACAGCCTGGTGCTAAAGGCTTAGGTGATGGCTTTCCTGGCAAGAAATCATGAATTCAAATTACTAAAGGTCTCTAGGAAGTGGAGAGAAAACAACTGTAACTTTCAAAGATTTGGGGGGGGTTCTTACATGAGAAACAGACTGAAGAAAACCCCTTAACTAGCTGAGAAAACCAGCTGGATTTAATTGCTATTTTTGAACACATCAAGGTATGGGGTAAGTACATAGAAAGGAAAATAACTGAAAAATTCGGCACATGAACAACTGGATATAAAATACTTAGAAAGAAATCCAGAGAGAAAACTAAATGAAAGCTTTTAGCTATCATACTCATGAGGTCCAGAAACAGCTTTCCAGAAGCTCAGTTATGTTAAAATGGGACTTGACTCTTCGTGAAAGAGGTTCTATGACATGGATGAATGCAGCTGCAGGGGAGTGAGCTCTTCCCAACCTGTGTGTTTGTGAAACTATTCCTACTACTGAAAAACTTGCTACTCAGAAAACTGCTAGCATCCAATTAGCCCTGCCTTGCTCATATGTCTTTCTAAGGCTACCTCAAATTCTACACTTACGAAGCTGATTACTTCTCAGTCTTCCAGCCTCTTCCTGTAACAGAGGGACACAAGCACTGGGAAGTCAATGACTTTAATGACCAAATACCCAAGCTCCGGCTTCCATACCTATGCTGACATTCCTCATCTCCTGCGTGACCTGGACTTCCATGTTCCGACTGTTTCGCTTTTCTCGTGCCCTCTTATTGCTCTTGGTCATGCCGTTGTAGTCACTGATGGGCTGGATGCTCTCATTCAAGGGTGTGACAGCAGCAGAGGGCACAGATGAGGTGGGAGTGTTGGACTTGGTTCCAGTGGTGCTCGGTGTGGCAGCTGCTGAGGACTGCCCAGATTCAGACATTTCATCCTGGGGGCACTACGACAATTCCAGAGTGGGGGAAGAACAAAAAGGGGAAAGCACAGCTATACATTTCAATTAATCTCCCATTTGTCAGTGTATGGCTGCCTTAAAGCATTATGGAGAATGAGTCTTGCTCGTTGTACCAACTACATGTCCACACTTGCTGGTGACACAAGGCACTGCAACCACAATGATGCAGTAAGTTTTCATGCTGAACTCAGCAAGCAAATCGCACCTGAGAAAGAACTGAGATCCTTCCTCCTTTACTACTAAACATTGTTCTTCAGAAGTCATATCAGTGTGTGATCTCTTCATCATGTATCTCAGGAAAGGTGGCCTTACCACAAATGAAAAGCACCTGCAGCTCACACCGATTACAGTGGAAGCTGAAGGGCTTTGGTACTTGCAGTAAGCCTGGCCAGTGCTTCCCAAGACCAGAAGGCAACATGGATATTGCTTGGGAAGGATCTGAAGTGGCCTCTTAGAGGTCTTGGATGATGTCATTACTGTAAACCAGCAACACAACCTGGATGAGAGAACAGCAAAGTGGTTTTGACACTAAACTGCAAGAAGCAAAGCGGATACCAAGATGGGATGGTCTGACTTTGCTAGCACAGAAGACCTATGTCCCCATACCACCTTACGCAGAAGCTAGCCAGGCATGGGTCCAGCTTGACAACACAGTAGAAAGAGGTGTGGTCTCCTCACTTCCAAATGACAGGACGACAAGACCCAAGAATTCAAAAACCAGAAACTGATAAATTAACGTCGGAGATGGAGTCCCAGTGTGAAACGCGCACAAGTGACTCTCTGTTTTACAGACATTACAGCCCCGTTTCTTGCAATACCACCTCTTGAAAAACATGGGAGGCTTTCAAGGCTCTGTCAGGATTTTATACTGTGACCCTGGTTTGTCAATTAAAACACCACGACGCCACAGTCAGCCAATTAATGTCTTGACCAATGCTCTGATCACTCCCAGACCCAGATGAGATCTCCCTATTCTTCACAGAGGCCCACTCTAATTACTGCCTGCAAGGAGATGTCAGAATTAATGTTGAGAGTTATACATGATAATGAGTTGCAACTGGGTGCAGTGATATTCAGTATCTGCACATCCAGACAAAGCTTTGACTTTTACTATTTGCCTCTCCTCTCCTGTGCAAGTGCTACAAAGGTCCTGATTCTGCTCAGAACCTCTCAACCTTGGAGCTGTGACGCTGTTTCACTTCACAAATCTGCAAGTCTTGTCCTCTTGTTCTAATAATGGCTTCACAAATGACAAAAAAAAATCAAAATGGGATGAGAAGACTGAAAAAAATGGTGACTTAACCCTTTGCAGCCTTTTTTTTTTAATCTGGAATCTTATTAAGATCTTCCTTTAATTAGACTGGCCTCCACATGCTTATCTTAAAATACCCTGCTGTACACTGCACTGTGAAAGTCAAAGGATTTTCACTGCATGTGTGCATTTATCTTGGAAATTAAGAATTTTTAAAACTGTGTCACCATTAAATACATCCACATTTTCTATATAGTTTCTGCGTTGCCAGTCCAAAAAGCACCCACGTGGACATTTGAATCATCTCCCAGCACATTTCCTGATTTTAGCATCGAGACTGAGATGGGGACTTTACACTTAGGCTGCTACATGCGAAAACCACACTTCCTACCTCTACTTCAATTCCTGTTTCAGGAGCTACTATCCTAATCTGTAAAGGGGGGGGAAAAAAAAATCAAACCAGATTTCTGCGAACAAATACGATCCAGTAAGCCTTTTGCTACTCCAATGGTAGTTTGCCTGCTACAGCTTCTAATGTACAAAGGGACAAAGAGTATCAAGTGTAAAGTGCAACCATAAAACCTCTTTCCCCAAATAAAACTCTGTTGGTGAAAGGATTCAGAGATGTTCTTGTAAGCAGTGTAAGTCTATAAGCATAACCAAAGTCCATGAGCATCTTAGCATTGTAAAAGACACACCCAGGTGGGTCCACATGTCATTCCTTGTTTTTAGAAACTAGATGTCATTCATAAACCCTGTATCATCAGTGTCATCACCTGTATCATCAGGGCAATACTTGTATCAGAGATATCCTGTAACTTCTTGTTTATCGATGTAATCTGCCCCTCACGCAGAATGCACTAGTGAGTAATTACCCTGGTCTTTTACCTACTCTTTGGTTATACATCTGAGTTTTGTATTTACCTGGAAAACATACCTTATCAACCTACCAACCTGCACTGGGAGACATTCCTCCCAAATATAAATACTACCAAGGTGCTCCTCTTTACAGTCCAGAAGCTCTATTAATTCTGCTGGTATCTTCCTTCTATTGTCCTGAGTGCTTCATTAATGCTAAATACTCCACTAAGTGTAAAGCTGTCCTCTACAGCACAGGAGGCATTCTCCATAACCCGTAGCTTACCCAAAGGATACTCTCCACAATCACCACTTACCTACAGCCATACCTGTCAACCTCCTAAACATCAAATGTGTAGTAGTGACCTCCAAAATGCAATGCAAAGGCCCAACATTCATAGCAGTCATATGTCACCATGAGAAGCCACAACTGTATGGTTATAACACTGAAAGCATAGTACATAAAAACAAAAATGTTAAGGACTTTCATCTCCAAAACACTGTATAAAATAAATGTACAACTGAATGTAAAAATAATATAATGAAAGCAACCGAAACAGAAAATAGTAGGAAGAATACAAGGACACTTAAAATATAACTACAGTATGGCATCATAAAGAAGGAAAACTAGTCAGAAGAGTCAGAATATACATAATGGGAAAGCAAGTCGTGTGTGCAGTTGATGTCAGTGAAATATCAGAGCTGCTGAAGAGGCGAGGAGTGCTCAAGCAGTACTGCTGACATTTCAGTCATGCAAAATATTTACAAAATAGCATTCCAGTCAGCGAGTGTGCAAGAAGCTCACAGGAAGAAAATCTCCATTCCAAATTGCAAATCTAGTCAGTCAGTCAATCACATCCTTTAATTATCCATAGGTTTGCTCCATACTCTTAGGAAATCCTCCAAAACACACTACCCCATCCAAATCTTCCACAGTCCAAACTCTCTAACTCCACCCTGCCAGCTAGCCTCCTTATACCCAGCACCCACTTCTGAGTTTCGCTAGCAAGCACCAACACAAATCCCAGCACTAACCACCAGATAAATTTGGAGTAGCACACTTTTACTTCTGCACAAAGCTTTCTTGTAACCAGAAATGGATTTTTTTTGCCTGACACCACCAACAAATTATGAAGAGATCCAATCAGTAACCCTCCCTTTACCTGAACTTGGACATCAAAGCCTCCAATTTATCTGGGTTCCTGTTGCATTCTCCTGCAATGCAGATGCTGGGTTATCAGTGCAATTTACTCAACTTCTTCCTGAAGTTCTGCAATGGTACCACTTAAAGAACTACTCCTTAGCATGTCTGCGGAAGACATATCTAACCCCAGTGTCTCCCCACCTGTTCTCTAAAAACTAACCCCTGCCACACATGCCTGATCACTAGGGAGCTCGAGGGCACTTTCACACCATAGTGTGTGGCACTGCCTGGAGATCCCAAGGAATAGACTGGCTCCAGAACCAGAAGCGGGCTGGTCTCTGCACATTTTCGTTGCTGCCTGTATCCTTACAGCAGTGTTGCGTTGGTACACCGCTAGTCTGAACACGCACATTCATGCTCTAGCTTCATTTCCACCATCCTTAATTACGTTATTGTACTGTGGCACTGCTATTCCCTAATTCCAGGCAAAGCTCCCCAGAAATGACTGGAGGACTCAACTGGCATTCTGCAAGTTGCTATGCTTCCCAAACTTCTGTGCCTCCAACGCCAAAGCAAGGGCTGGGTTCCAAGAAGTCTCCGTCTTATTCAAAGATTTTGCTTCTACATTTCTAACTGCAATGATGGCAGATGGTTGACAAAGTGCTATGGTCTGTGCTGTGCTAGGCCTGGCTACTTTACAAAGATAGTATTAAAAAAGGGAAATTGCATGTTTGTTTTGTGCATAAATTTTGAATTTGCCTAAATTTCTTGTACTATGCATCAAGAAGGCCACTCCTGCAGAAGCCCTCAGGCCAAGGTAACATTAATGTAATCTGCAGACATGCAGAATGGGCATGACAATAAGCTGGGTTTCTTTTCTTTCTTTGGGTTTTTCCCTCCTCTTTCC